GGCGGCATCCTCCTCCTCCTCCTCCTCCTCCTCCTCCTCATCATCATCATCATCATCAGCAGCATCAGCATCAGCATCAGCATCATCATCATCATCATCATCATCATCATCATCATCATCATCATCATCATCATCATCATCATCATCATCATCATCATAATCAGCATCATCATCGTCGTCGTCGCCGTCATCATCATCACCATCATCATCCTTCTCCTTTTCGCCCTCCTCCTCCTCCTGCTTCTGCTCCTCCTCCTATTATTCCTCCTCCTCTTCCTCCTCCTGCTCCTCCTCCTCCTCCTCCTCCTCCTCTTCCTCCTCTTCCTCTTCTTCCTCCTCCTCCTCCTCCTCGTCTTCCTCCTCCTCCGACACTTCCTCCTCCTCCTCCTTCTCCTCCTCCTGCTTCCGCTCTCTCCTCTCCTCCTCCTCATCCTCTCCTCCTCCTCCTTCTCCTTCCTCCTCCTAACCTCCTCATCTATTCTCCATCCTCCACCTTACCTCATGCAATTCCATCAACATCATCATCAAAATCATCATCATCACCATCATCATCAGCATCATCATCGGGACACCATAATCATCATCAACATCATCATCATCAACATCATTATCGCCGGGACACCATTTCCATCAACATCATCATCACCAACATCATCGGAATCATCATCATCATCATCATCATCATCATCATCATCATCATCATCATCATCATCGTCAGCAATCAGCATCGCACCAGCCATCAGAATCAGCAGCACATCATCACCATCACACACCATCACCTATCACCATCACCTCATCATCATCACCATCACCATCACAATCACCATCACATCATCTCATCCATCATCATCATCATCATCCATCATATCATCATCATCATCACCATCACCATCACCTATCATCATCCCACATCAACATCATCATCATCATCACATCATCACCATCACCATCACATCACCATCATCATCATCATCATCATCATCATCATCATCATCATCATCATCATCATCATCATCATCATCATCATCGTCAGCATCAGCATCATCGTCAGCATCAGCATCGGCATCAGCATCAGCATAAGCAGCATCATCATCACCATCACCATCACCATCCATCACCATCACCATCACCATCACCATCACCATCACCATCATCCATCATCCATCATCATCATCATCATCATCATCATCATCATCATCATCATCATCATCATCATCATCATCATCATCATCATCATCATCATCATCATCATCATCATCATCATCATCATCATCATCATCATCATCATCATCATCATCATCATCATCATCATCATTATCACCTCCTCCTCCTCCTCCTCCTCTTTCTGATTCCTGATTCCTGACGGCGTTTGCAATCGTTGATTGCCGCCCCTCCCCCGGGCCGGTCTGCCCTAGGGGGCAAATCAAACTGAACAGCCTGGTCAGAATAGGAACTGGCCGTGGCACGATGTAAAGTAAAAGCAACGGTGACTGACCGAAGAAATGAGGAGGGAGGCGAGATCAAGAACCAAAATCCGAATCTAGAAGGAAGGAGGACGGAGACAGAGAGCTGATGCGTCGGCTGTGGCTGTGGAGCGGCAAAGAGCGCGCGCAGCAGAGATATGGAAGATGCATGGGGCCCTGAGGCCCTGTACTGGGCCCTCCCCTGCGCGGGTCAACTGGCCGCGGAGGCGCCCAGCTTGGAAGCAAAGGACGAGGGGAACGCCCGGTGGCATGAGCGCGGTCGAAAAACATGGCGAGTGGTTCAGCGGTGAGAAACTGGCGGCCGCCTGCTGGGTGAAGGCGTTGAAAATGGGCTGCAGAATTGAAGCTGAAAGAAAGATGGGGCTGCTGCAGCGTCGGCGCTGGAGGGGGGAGGGTGCGAGGGCCCCTGGCCGGCTTGAAAAGGGCTGGCGAAGGTTGCGGCTAGAGTGGTAGCAGCAGCGGGCGGTGGCGTGCCCCGCCTGCGCACGCCCAGGTGGAAGGCGCAAGAGCGCCCTCATCTGCTCATAGGGAACCCCCGCAGGCGTCCCCGAGGACAACGGCGGGATCCATCGCTTACAAGCAGTCGTAAGGTTCCCAATCTGAAAAAAAGTGCTGTTCAGACTCTGGGCCGCCCCCAGACTCTGGGGGGTCCTCCCTCCTCCTCCTTCTCCTCCTCCTCCTCCTCCTCTTCCTCCTCTGGACCTCTGGATGGTGGCCGTTATTGTGCATAAAATTGATGTCATCGTCTTCCTCCCTCTTCCTCTTCCTCGTCCGCCTCCTCCTCCTCCCTCCCCTGATCCTCTGCCTCCTCCTTCTCCTCCTCCTGCAGCTCCTCCTGCCTCCCCTCGTCCTCTTCCTCCTCTTCCTCCTTCTGGACCCCGAGAAGCCCTCGAGCGAGCTGCCAGAGAGCCCCGAGACGGCTTCAGGAGTGGCCCAAGATGGCCCCAAGAGAAGCCCAGGAGTTATGTACCAGCGGGCCCTCGGTTGGTACATAACTACTGGGCCCCTCTTGGGGCCATCTTGGGCCCCTCGTGGGGCCGTCCTGGGCCATGCTCGCGCGGAGTAGGTGGCCGGCCTACTCACGCCAAGTTGGAAGGCCCATAGGCCTCCCCCCCAGGACATAAGAAATCCCCCAAGGTGACCCCCATCCCCGCGACGGGCACCCTCCCCTGACAATCAGGAGTAAGGTACCAAGATCGCGGGGGCGAAGGCCGCTTGGGGGATTCCCACCGTACGCGGGGAGGTTTGTGTCTTCCGTGGCGGCAGCCGGTTCTGTTGGAGCGCGGCCGTCCCCCCGCGATGCTTCTCGACCCCCCCCCGTCGGCGATGGACAGGCGATCGGGGACCGCGGCTGCGTTTATCACGTAACTAGAAAAAGAGGTGGAGGTAGGGTGAAGTTAAGCTGTTGCAACGGTGGAATTAAGTTGTTGCCCTGGACACTTGGCTGTAGGTAAGCAGCGCGGCATACAAAGTGCCGAGATGTTGGTACTGCTTGCCGGCTGCGGCCGCGGCCGCCCTGGCCCTTGCCAGGGCGGCCCGCGGTGAGTCTTCGCACGCCCCCTTCCCAAGGCACCCCACCCCCATTCCTCCGCCACAAGCGGGGGGGCGCGGTGAGGCTGGCGAGTCGAAGCGGGGGAGAGGGTCTGCGAAAAGGCAGCCGGGAGGGAGTGAACGTCGGAGGTGCGTGGAGGCCTTATTTCAGCAGGCACGTGGGGTTAAATAGCATAGCTCGTGGGTAAGAATGCCCCGCAGGGACCCACTGCGCAGCATCGCTGATGTTAGCGTCGTCGCCGTACGCTGAAACCCGCAGGCGCCCCTTTTCCGCTGCCGTCGGAGATGTGAGACTAGAGATTGGATGACCAGCTGCGCGGCTGCCGATCCTGTCGGTGAGCGCGCACGGTTGGGTCAAAGAGTAGTGCCAGGGTTGGGTGAAAGACTACAGCAGCTGGCGCGACGTCCCCTGTCTGTCATTGAGCAAACTTGGGCAAAACTCGCACGGTGAGTTTAGGAGGCGGGCGCACTGACGGGCCGCTGCAAGGCCGGTCCCATGGAGAGGCGCGGGCCTTGTGGTTGTGGGCACTCAGGGGGGAGTCTCTGATTAACCGTGGCATCGTCGTGCTGGGGGGCCTTGAGATGCTGCCAGTTTTCGACTTCAAACGAAGGCCATGGCCCTGAGCCGCCATCTGCTGTGGACCCTTCGACTGTGCCGTCGTTATGGGCCTGCTTGCTGCCGTAAAGTTCGGTTGTTGGTCAGGTTAGAGTCGCGTCGAGATTTGATTACTGGTTGTCACTTGAGGGCGCAGTTGCACCCTGGTGGTTCTCCCCCTTGGGGCTCTCAGTCGGCTAGGTTTGGCTGCCAGCGTCGGTCGTCTTTCGCTACGCCTCTGGCGGTGGGTCCGTCTGCCGAAGCACGTTGGTCTCCACTGCTGCATTTGGGTGTGAAGGGCATGGGTACGGTAAATTGATTGGACTGAGAGATGGGAATGGGAGATTCGTGGCCGTTCGGTTGCCACACTGTCACTGACACGCCTTAATCGCTTGGCGGTTCGTGGATACCTCCTCCTCCTCCTTTTCCTCCTCCTCGCCCTCCTCTTCCTCCCCCTCCTCCTCCTCCGCCTTTTCATTTACCCCGCGTACCTAGAGCCCCCGAGGCGGCATACTTTGACTCAACCGCCACCCCCCCCGCGCCGCCTCGCCACCCCGCGGCCAGGCCAGCTGCGGACAAGAGAAGGGGATCGACGATCGACGATCGAGGATCGAGAACCGAGCATCGAGGATCGAGAATTGAGCATCGAGAAAGATCAAGCATCGAGGACCGATTGCTGATTGATCCGCCTTGAATTTTCCAAGACGTCGGATGTCTAAGCTCCAGGTGGCTTCCGAGCCATGACTGGGGCCTCAGGCGGCTCTTTCGGGACGTCCCAGGCCCCCCCGGAACGCTCTTGGCGAGGCGCCGCTGCTGGAACGCACCCCGAGGCTGGAAAACCCTGGAAACTCAAGAAACAATCCGACAGCCTCCAACTCCGATCCTGACTGCCTACCAGACCACCCCAGCCTAACCCGAACACCCGAATCTCGGGTTGGGGAAATACGGGATCCGCACGTGTTTTTTCAATGTTCCCCGACACCCCCCCCTCTGGAAATGCAAGGCAATCGAGGCCTTCGGGTTGGGCTGGGGTGGTGTGGTGGGTGGTGAGACCCTGAGATCCCAAGGCGCAAAAAAGTTGAGACATCGTACGAAATTACGACCGGAGTCCCGGACACCATCTTTCTGCGCCACGTCTCGAGCCAGCTCGATCTGCAAGGGCCCCGGGGCCCCGAAACTGGGCGAGAACGCCCAGTTCGAGAAAAGCTTGAGCTGTCGGGACCTCACATCCCAGAAATGTACGTTTCCCGGAGGGAATCTGACGACTTTGGCCTCCTGGGGCTCTGTGCGGAAGGCTTCGGGGGACGTCTTAGGCGGTCTTGGGGATCGAGGGAGCCTCTGGTGCCTGGGTCGCGAGGGCGGCCGGCGGCCGTGGTGGCGGCCGAAGGGCTCCGCGCTTCCCGGCGCTTCTCGGCGGGCGCGGGCCGCGGCTCCTCCTCTGCGGGGGCAGCAGAGGCAACCACAGCCACGTCGAGGCCACGCCCTCAGAGGATGCCCTGCGCATGCCGGCAGCGGTCGGAACACCGACACCACCTCGGCACTGGTCGTGGTCGGTGTGGGCGCCCGGCGCGACCCATTCGACCACCACCACAGCCAAAGTGGTCCCGTCCGGGTCGGCAGGTGCTCCCCCGAGGGGCCCTGCAGAAAAGTCCTCTCGGTCGTGGTTGTGGCTCTTTTCGGCAGCGAGCCTGGGGGGGGAAGTGGGAAGGGGCGGGCCTTCTCAGAAGGGCCCTCGGGCCTTCTGGAGGGTTTCCTGGGCCTTCCCCGAAGACACGGAAAACCTCGGAGAAGGCCCGAGGGCTTCTGAGAAGCCCGGGCGCCTCCTGAAAAGGACTTCTCCTTCTTACTCTTAGTATTGTTTAGAGGAACAAACAACGGCATAAAGATAAACTTCTGACGATCCGCGCGGGCTTCTTGGATCTGCGCTGGACACCCCGCCTTCGCGCGCTGAGCGGGCCAGGGGCGGCGCTGGAGGCGCCGCCAGGGGGGCCCAGGCGCCGATCCAAGAAATCCGCGCGGAGCGCCAGAAGCTTTAGGTCGGGCATGTCCTCCTACAGGCGGATGTTGGACGAACAAATAAAAATACCAGAGAAATGCTCAAAATTAGTAAAAACATAATCGAAGATCCCTGACTTTTTTTTACTATTTTTGAGTATCCCTTCTCTAGAAGGGCAGGCCCGATTTAAGTTTACCTTGTTTGTTCTTCTTCGACCTTGGCATTGTTGTGCCCGGATCCTCGGGGCCGCCGCGGAGGTCCAGGCAGCCCGCCTGTCTTTGGGGGGGCGGGGGAGGGCGACGCTCGGCGCTCGCGGCCCGCGCGCCCTGCGCAGCACTGCGCGCCGGAAAGCGGTCGTCGACGTCGACGGCGTCGTCTTCCTTTAGGCTTTTCACCTCCGTGAGACGAAAGCAGAATCGAGACCAGGGATCGACCTAAGCAGTGCTTTCCGTGTTCATGTTGCTTTCGTGTTCCCTCCTATTGTCTTCAATCCACCTTTGCTGCAAAACGAAATCGAAACAAAAACGGCCCACGAGATCGCCAAAAACCGTTTAGGTCGAGTCCTGGGCAGAATCGAGACCAAATCGCACCGATATGAATCGGAAATCTCCGAAAATCGGCGGGTTTGGAGGGCGTATCGGGCGCCGCGATCGTTTCACAGCGCTCCGGAACGAGTTGAGAGCGTTCCAGAACGCTCTGGAACGGATGCATCCTGATTCTAGGCCCGTCCGATCTTCGCCTTCGCATTCGCCTTCGTCTTCATCGGCGTCGGTTGGGTGAGCCTTCATGGGAGCCTCTGTGGACCTCCGCGGCCCTATCATAAACGTGACTTCGGCCAGATTTCGCACCCCTCTTCACCCTTTCCTCCAGATTTCGCCCAGATTTCGTCCAAATGTCGACCAAATCCGACGCCATCCCTAAACCCGCAAGGTATTTGGGGACCCCCTGAGGCTCCCGTGAAGGACCACACAACGTCGGCGTCTTCGTCCTCGCCTTGGACGTCGACGTATTCGTCCTCGCCTGTGGGCCTCTTTCTCTGGGCCTACGCGGGGCCTGCACGAGAGCCCGCCGCCGTCGACGTCGTCGACGACGTCACCGTCGGCGTTGGCGTCGTCATCTTCGTCGTCATCGGAAGACCCTGAGATCCAGGCGTCGCAATGTCTTCACCCCGAGGGTTCTCGCCCAGGCGCGGGGCCCGGGACCCTCTGGGATCGAGCTGGCTGGAGACATGCCGCAGAAGGGTAGGGCTTAGGGATCCACTCGCCATCTGTTCCCCTAAACACGAGCGCGGTTCTTTCTGTTCGGCGATGACGGGCGTCATGGGGGGGGGAACGAAGGGGGGTATGACGTAACGCCCCCCCCGCCGTGTGGCTCCCGCACCACAGCCGCGCCCGCGTGCACGACGCGACGAGCGACGAGCGACGAGCGACGACGACGACGACGACGCGAGCAGCATGTAGGTGGCGATCTGCCCCACCGCGCCTGTGTACACCACAACGATCGCGTGCACCACAGCGCTCGTGTGCACCACAGCGCCTGCGTACACCGGAACAACCGTGTGCAACGCAGTGCCTGTGTACACCACAATGCTTGCGTACACTACAGCGCCGGTGTACACGTGTACACCGCAGTAACCATGTGCAACACAGCGCCTGTGCACACCACGATGCTTGCGTACACCGCAACGCCTGTGCACGCCACTGCGCCTGTCTACATCACAGCATCCGCGTCCAACGCCGCGCTAGTGTACACCACAGTGCCTGCGTGCATTGGACAGGTAGAAGGAGCATGTACGTGAGGATTTGCTGCGGAAAACTATACGCCACGCCAGGAAACTGCTGATAATCGAATCCGACGTTCTTCCCTCCTCTCTC